CAGCCCGGTGGAGGACAAGATGCGGGAAGCAGGGTTGAGATGGTCCAGACATGTGCAGAGCAGATGCCCAGAGGCCCTAGTACGGAGGTGTGAGATATTGTCAGGGATGGTTTCAAGAGACGTAGAGGTAGGCCGAAGAGGCATAGGGGAGAAGTGATTAGACAAGACACGACGAAGTTGAAACTTACCAAGGACATGGCCCTAGATAGGAGGTTGTGGAGGACACGAATCAGCCCAAAATGAAATAAGTTTGGATGTTCCATTATGATGGATAAGTGGACGGCAAGAACTAGAAAATGATCACTGACATATTGGTGAATTCTCCAAAAGAAGCTTATTTCTTGAATCCATTGTTGCTCGCGAGTCGTCGTCTACTAATTCCATCAAAATGTTCTCTTTGTTTCGGAACACTATAGAGAAGATTGGAGCAGAGAATGTTGTTCAAGTTGTTATAGATAATGCAGCTGAAATGTTAAACCAATGCTCCCGCACATTTATTGGACACCATGTGCAGCTCATTGTATAAATTTGATGTTCAGGGACATTTTCAAGAAAAGACCCTTCATTACAGTTTTCACTCTGGCAATTAAGGTACATCCTTACATTGTTCAAAGGCCTTTGTTATTTAATATGATGAGTAAACTCACAGAACAAAAAACTTGGTGAAACCTGACAAGACTAGATTTATAACTACTTTCTTGACCTTGCATAGTATACACATGCAAAAGGTCAATTTGAGAAGCTTGCTCACTTCAGAAGAATAGAACACTAATAAATTTGCAAAAAAGCTAGGGGTAGAAGCTACACACCTAATTCTTTCTTATACCTTTTGGAATAACGTTCTTCACGTTCTTAAAGTTGGTAGTCCCTTGATTAAAGTACGTCGTTTGGTGGATGGGGAGGAAAAACTACCAACTAGCTACTTTGAAGATATGGATAGGGTTAAGGAGACTATTGGAGGGGCATTTATTGACGAGCATAAATATGCAAAGGCCTTTGAGATCATTGATAAAAGGTGGGGCAACTCGGAATACTTTGAACCCAGCACTCTTTTATGATAACATTGAGATGGATGTGCTAGATAAAAAAGTGTGGAAGGGATTTCATAATTGTGTTGCTAAGTCAGTTGCCAATGAAGATGCGCAAGATATACAGAGGATCAGATTAGTACATACAGAATTGCTGATGGACTTATTGATTGCCAATAGCTATGAGACAAAGAAAGAGGAAATCACCAGGTGAGCGAGTGCTTCTATGTTTCTTTATAGCGTTAACTTTTACGTTATTTCTTGATATGTATTAATTTTTGAATATTTGTTCTACTTCAATAGTTGAAGGATGGAGTCTTTATGGTTCAGGAACGCCAGAGTTACAAAAGTTTTCCATCAAAGTTCTAAATCTAACTTGTAGCTCATCCGGATATTAGAGGAACTAAAGCGTGTTTGAACATGTAAGAACTAAGGAAAAAGATTTAGTATATTGAGATAACTAAATTATATCTCAATTGTCTTGACTCCTACTAATTACTTGCCTGAACTAAATTGAAGATGCATACCCAAAGGAGGAATAGAGTAATCTTTAAGCGTCTCAATGACCTTTCGTCCATAAAATACAATAAAACATTAAGGCCTTGTTACAACACTCATGATGTAATTGATCCAATTCTTTTGGACAATATGATGATGCTAATGAATGGCTAACGGGAGTCCTTGAGAATCAAGAAGGTGAAGTAATTTTTTTGGGAGATTCTGATTTCACATGGGGTGTTGTTGCGATTGAGGAGAACCGTTATGATTTAAGGGGTAATGCTTCAAGCTTTCATAGGAAGGGAAAAGAAGTTGAAGGATGATAATGGAGTTGACGAAGATGATGAGCAATATAATGATAATGCAGGAATACAAGATTGTCAACTGTAGAAGAATAAGAATTAAATGTTGAACCATTAATAGCTTTGATTTTGTTTGTCCTATTGTGTATGGAGGGGATTTTGTGATAACTACTTTTTGATTTTTTATTTGAACTTATGCTTATCTGTAGTCTCTATTTATTTTGGTCTTTTTCTTTTAAATTGTGCTTCACTTCAATGAAGCGAGTGCTTTGCTTAAAGCATGAACGGGACCTTGTTGCTTTTCCCACTTGACGCTCTCCCTCCCCAAAACACTATTCCAGTCCCCAGTGTAATTTTGTTGTATCATCTGTCATCATCCCCATTATACTTTTGTATAATCTTTCGCCTTTGTTTCATTCCCTAAATCTATAAGTGAAGCATTGTCTTATCTAGGATGGTGAAGTAAGTTTCCATATCTTATTGGTGAAATTGAATACTTGAAACTCAACAAATTTATGCACCAGATACATCAAGAATGTGTTACTTCACATTCTTTGTATTTTTCTTTTTCTATGGACTGCATAAGTCTTTTCTTCCAGCCCAAAGGAGCTTCTTGATCTTTGGCAACTAAAGGCTTTATAGAGGTTCTCTTGTTGTAGGTCTTCAAACTACATTAAACAAACTAGAACGCCTTCAATTGCTTTCTGCATACGCTGTATCTTATTGGTGAAATTGAATATTTGAAATTCAACTAATATGTGCAACGGATGTTACAGCCACTGCGGACTTGGCTCCTCCTAGTCCACTAATTTCCCTTTGGAAAAGTATATGATCCACTCGTAATACTAATCCCATTATACCATATGAAGTTATCATCGTTTGTCATCGCCCCATTATGCTTTTGTATCATCTTTGTCCTTTGTTTCCATCCCAAAGTCTATAGATGAAGCATTATCTCATCCAAAATGGCAACAGGCTATGATTGTTGAGATATCTGTTTTACATGCAAATGGTATTTAGGAGCTTCTTCCTCTTCCTTCAGATTCGGTGGGTTTATGAAGTCGAAGTTGGTTTGGACGGCCAAAATGATCAGCTTAAGGCGCACCTTGTTGACAAAGGGTATGCTCAAATATTTGGGCTTGATCATAGTGATATTTTCTATCTCGTGGATAAAATAGCATATGTTTGCTTTTTCATTCAAGGCTACTGTTAATCATTGGTCTCTTTATCAATTGAACATTTAAGAATACTTTTCTCCATAATGACCTTGAGGACGAGACAACCACTGGTTTAGCTGCTCGGGGGAGTAGTGCTCTTGTACGTCAATTGCACAAGCCACTCTATGGTCTAAAACAATCTCCTCGAACCTAGTTTAGTAAGTTCAGTGTTTTGGACGGCGAAAGGCGATAAAAGGCGACAAGGGTCTGCCTTGCCACGAGGCGAGGCGAGGCAATCGGCTAAGCCCTCGCCTTTTTGAAGTGAGCCGCTAATTAATATCAAAAAAATTAAAATATTTAATTGCTAGATAAATAATCAAAATCTCAATAGCAATAACATATTAGCAAATATTTCAATTCAAAAACTAAAAATAGATAGTACTAGTTTGAAATTGCCAAATACTTACTATATTAATTGATATATAAATTAAATAAATTTAGATGGGCTGAAATAAAAATAAAAAGACTCCAATCTTTTTTAAAAAATGGGCAGTGGCAGAGCAGACAGCCAGACACAGAGTCTGTTCTGTGTAGAACAGTGAACTCAAGAAAACAGAGTCTGAAGAAGCGAGAAGGCAAGAAGAAGAAGGAGAAAAAAAACTGAACTCTGAAGAAGAACTGAAGAAGAAAGAAGAAAGAGGAAAGAAGAAAGAAGAAAGAAGAAGAAAAAGAAAAGAGAAAAAGAACTGAAGAAGAAGAAGAAGAACTAAGAAGCGTGCCTGGTCCTGGAGTCTGGAGAAGACGAGAAGAAGAAGGAGAAGTCGATGTCTTTCTCGCATCAGAGAGAAGTAGGGAAGACAGCCGCTAGTAATTGAAAAGTGAAATTAAAACCCTAAAAAAGATTTTTAACTGTTTAAAGCCAAGATTTTTAAAAAAATAGAAAGGCGACGTCTTTTACGCCTCGTCGTCATGTCGCCATTAGCGCCATTAGAGCGCCTTTTGGATTTCGCCTCACCATGATGGAGGATGGCGACAGCAGCTCGCCTCGCCTCGCCACGTCGCCAAAGGCGAGAGGCGAGCACCTTTCATAACACTGAGTAAGTTTACCACAGGCATGACTCGTAGTGAATTTGATCACTCTATGTTTTATCGGCATTTTGCTCCCAATATGTGTAAATATTCGGTGGTTTATGTTTACAATATCGTTATTATTAGTAACGATCAGTATGGTATCACTAATATGAAGCAACATTTCTTCTGGCATTTCTAGACAAGGATTTGGACAGACTAAAGTATTTTCTAGGTATTGAGGTCACTGATTCTAGATTAGGTATATTATTATTTCACAATGAAAGTATGTTCTAAACATTCTTGAAGAGACAAGCATGATGGTTGTAGGCCATTGAAACTCTTACGGATCTGAATGCTCATTTTCTGCTGGGGTAGAGGAAGCCTCTTTAATGATCCTGCAAGATATAGGCGCCTAGTTGGTAAGTTGAATTACCCTACCGTGACTAGACTTGACATTTCCTTTCTTATAAGTGTTGTAAGTCAATTTGTCGACTCTCCTTGTGTTAGTCATTGGAATGCAATTGGTCGCATTCTTGGGTATACAAAATCAGCCTAAAGCAAAGAACTATTATTCGAGGATTGAGTCCATGAGTTGACCATTGGAGACACAGATGCCAATTAGGCAGGATCACCTTCTAATAGACGTTCTACATCTGGATATTGTGTTTTAGCAAGAAGTGATTAGGTGGCTTGGAAAAGCAAGAAATGGGGTGGTTGCTCAATTTTGTGCGGAAGCAAAATATCAAGCAATGGCTATGGCAACATGTGGGCTAGTTTGGATCAAACAATTGCTTAAAGAATTGAAATTTGGATAAGCGTCAGTCGCGTAGGGCAACCGGGCCAGGCCGAGTCAGAAAGGCTTTGATGACTCAAGGTTCATATTAGGGAAAGGAGAGTGAGGGGAAGAGGGGGCAGCCCTCGGCCCGATCATCCAAATCGCTCAAGCCAGGCTGTAGCTCGAGATTAGAGCACGTGGCTGCGAACCACGGTGTCGGGGGTTCGAATCTCTCCTCGCCTGGCAAGCCCAAAAGGAAGTACCTTTCCCTGCAGGGGGTAGGAAAATCATGACAGGATAGCGAACCAAAAGCTATGGAACTTGGGTGTGGTCTTTTGTCGAAATGGAATGGCTTTTCTTTTCTCTTTTATTTATTATTTATCGTGAATAGAGGGCCCGAAATGGTGAGGAGAGAAGGTTCCTTTTTTGGGGGTATTAGGTGAATCAATCAACATTTCGTTCGGTCACTTGTGATCATAAAAAAAACCTAATTCTATTGAGTTGATTCCATCTCCTTGGCTTTGTTCACATTGTTAAGCGGCTTGATGGTGTCCTTCAGTCGGGAACTCACGCAATAGGCAGCTAGCCTATTGGAAAAAAAGACTACCCTCATCCCTCTCCTTTCAGTCAGTGAGCTAATTTTTCGTGCTTCTTAAGTCGATGTTGACCTGTATATAAGTCGAGATGTTGGAAAGAAGCCCCCATAATACTAGGCGAGGGAGAAGAGAGCTTTGCTTTATTCACAATGTCTCAATTGGGTTATATGATATTAGCTCTAGGTATAGGGTCTTATCGAAGCGCTTTATTTCATTTGATTACTCATGCTTATTCCAAGCATTATTATTTTTAGGATCTAGGATCCATTATTCATTCAATGGAAACTATTGTTGGATATTCTCGGCTAAAAAGCGAGAATATGGGGTCTTATGGGAGGTTTAAGAAAGCATGTCCCAATTACAAAATCACATTTTTATTATGTACACTTTCTCTTTTTGGTATTCCACCTCTTGCTTGTTTTTGGTCCAAAGATGAAATTCTTAATACCCAAGAAGCGTGCCCTTTGAAAGACTCCTCTTAGAGACAAAAAATGGCTCATCAGAACGTAGAGAGGTAGGATGGGGTTAGTCGAGATCGAGTATGGATCGTACATGGACGGTAGGGTGAGTCTATTCTCTCTCTACAGCTCCTGTGTAGCCAAGAACAAGAGAGCTACACTTTTCGGGTTGTTGAATGATTTAAGGATCAGATGAAAACCAGCCTTCAGGAGAGGCTCACCGCAGGGCTTTATCGGCTAAGTTCACGAGTTGGGAGATAAGCGGACTCGGAGCCGCGGCATCCGCCAGAGCCAAGCCACCGCCTCTCGAGTCCCCAGGCCCAGATTTCTACCACTTTAGAAGACCTTGATAGACAATAACTCCCCGAACACGGCTTGCTTTCCTTCGTGTTTATTGCTCTCCAAGAGCAACTCTTCTCAAGAAAAATAGGGTCTGTATTGAGCTCCAAATATACGCTATTGGGATGGGATGGCTCCTACTAGCTCTCCCCCCCCCAAGAACCACACGTGAGTTCCCCGCATTGACTCAAATGCTTGAAGCCCTCTACTCTGAGAACCGGACGTGAAGTTTCTTCTCATCCAGCTCCTCGCAGCAGCGTGAAGGCACATCAACCTTGGCCTTATGGATAAGATTACTCCACAAGGGAATCTACTAATCTTTAGTCCAAGCCTAAATTTGGTTTATGGGTTGTCTTTTCTTCGGAAAACGGTGTTTCCCGGTAGCGGACGGAGTGAAATGCGCGTAGAACTTTGCCCTTGGGAGAGGCAACAGTGGAAACATGCTATTACCAAGTAGTGAGGAGCAAAAGGAGGAATTCGCTCGAGGAGGGGCTCGCGTCGATTAGCTAGTTGGTGAGGCAATAGCTTACAAGGCGATGATACGTAGGCTAGTCGAAGGATGATCGGCCACACTTTGGGAGGCGGGAGCCCGACCCGGACTCTGAGGAGAAAGCGGCGGTGAAATTTTCCGCATGAGCGCCCCAGCGAGCAATGCAGCGTGGAAGTGAAGGCCCACGGGAAGAAATTTCATTTCCCTCGACTTTGGATCTTAGCACCCAAAAATGCATGCAGCCTGAAGCGATCTAGGCACATGTTCGGAGTTCTTAGGTTAGTAAGGCGAAATGAGGCCACCCTAGCCCCATTGAGTGCTCTACCTCGGGCCGACATCGCCAGCTCTATTAAAAATAGATTTCGCGGAAAACCGGCTATAGCCGATCTTGGTTGGCCTTTCACCCCTAGCCACAAGTCATCCCAGTATTTTGCCACATACATTAGGTTCGGTCCTCAAGGCTGTTAGAGCTCTCTTCAGCACAACATGCTGAGTCAGTCGGTTGAGGTCAAATAGGAAGAACTAGAAGATTCCACCTCTGGAAAAGCGCCTACGCAGTACCAACGGCTAGGCGGTAAAGACCCCATGCACCTTAACTATAGTTTCGCAGTGACAACCTTAATCGAATGTGTAGGATAGGTGGGAGGTGGTGACACACAACGACCAATCCTGAAAGACCACTCTTTCGTCTAAGGATGCCTAACCGGTTGATCTGTCCTTCCCCCTCCTTTCTTCGTAGATTATTAGCCCCGGGACACCTATACCAAAAGCTCAGTGTGCAATTTGCCTGAAATCCATTTTTCCCCTCACTCAGATGAAACTTTGTGTGTGATAATCAAGTTGCTCTTTATATTGCATCAAATTCAGTGTTCCATGAAAGGACTAAACACATTGAGATTGGTTGTCATTTCATCAGAAAAAAGTTACTCTCAAGAGATATTGTTATAAAAAATTTGTGAAGTCAAATGATTAGCTTGCGGACATTTTCACCAAGTGTCTAGGTCCTCGTATTAATTACATTTGTAATAAGTTCGGTATGTAAGACTTATATGCACCAGCTTTAGGAGGAACATTAGATAGTTATACCGAGTGTCCCACATAGGAATATAGGTATTTATATATTGTGTAAAGTATGTATATAAATAGGGCTCAGTGTAAGACAATCATTTTACGTATCTGAATAATATTTTACCCGAGTCTTTATTTCCAACAGTAGGGTGCTAAAACAGTGAGGAGAAATGAGAAAAAGAGGAAAAGATTATTTAACAGCAAAACATAAGTTCAGCAGCTCACCTCTATGACCATATCCACATCCTTAAAATCTGAAAAATCCAATGCACCTTTAACTATTGAAAGGGCTTTATCTGCTTTATCCTGTGGCAATTTCTTTCTAGCTACCAGTCCGCTGACATTTGCTGTAATATAAGATACATCCCATTAGTTTCTACACTTCAAGACCACTAAGGGACCGTCATGAATAACTGGCAAGTATGATCTAGCAATCCTTACAAGCCATTGACTAAATGACTAGAGGTATGTAATTTCACCGTAGTAAAAGAGTGTATCAACAACCTTCAATAGCTTTCATGCCCTTCTGAAGATACTCAGAATTAATTTCCTTAAGTATAACAATTGTGTTGCTAAGGGCAAGGGCTGCAGCTATGCCTGAACCCATTAAACCTCCACCTATTACAGCAACTTTCTTGACTGTCCTAGGTTTGAGGCCAATATCAGTGACGTTACGTACCTGGTCAATTATGAAACCAAAGGTCATCTACAAAGAAGAAAGAACAGATTGACTCACAGGGAATGCAGACATCTAAGTACATATATTTCAAAAAGTCAAAAATAGGGAGAGGATCAAAGCAAAAAGAATACAAACATAATGAAAATGGTATAAAATATAAAATAGTAACTGTACAAGTTCATTACATAAAAGAGATCCACAGAATCTATGTCACCACGTGAAATCATACTGATAACAAACTTTACAATTAAGGAACATCATGAAAATCCATTCCAACATCAAATCTCAAGAGGAATCAACCAAACTAAATCAGCAAAAAAAAAGGATCAACGAACTATAGATTAATCAAATGTGTATCATTCTTTATAGAGACTTTTTACATAAGCGGATAGTTTTGTATGTCATAGCTAATGTATTAACCTCTTGAATATGCAATTATTGATAAGAGACTTTTTACGTAAGCAGATAGTTTTTTTATGTTGCTGATACAGTTTAATAATAAATGTTAATTTCAAGAAGATGAGTCAAAGCTAAAGCAGTTAATGAGAGGATGCATAAGTTGTAGTTATCACAGCAATTTTCCTACCCATTCTTGCCTGCTCAAATAAAGATGCTTACAAAGAACTCCAAGCTTCAAGCTAGCATCACAAAATCACATAGTATAGATTCATATCCTTCATGGTTCAGGATTTGCTGTACCATACCTTCGATGTTGCCCGTTGGGAAAAAAATACATGAACAAGACCCTTTGATGTATCTGACAATACAAGGTCCTTGAATACTTTAGCTTCCTGAAAAACATCCAAAAAGAGTTGTTATGCGATCTGGAGAGAAGTGTGTTTATGATATAAAGATATTGTTGACTGAGAAATAATACCTTGAGAACCCCATTATATCCTCCATGGATGATGCCTTCTTCAATTACATCAATGCATGCCAAGTGCTGAGGCATATTCTTAGCTGTCTGTTTCACTTGTTCCCTAGCCACCTTCAGTACTTCATGCGCTTCTGAAACGGAACCAATTTTGTCTGTCTTGTGAAGGGAACGCATCCAAGGCTTGCGCCTTTCCGCAATATCAAGTGCCCACTGTCTAGATACTTTTAACAACTCTGACGAAGGGACAATGGCATCAATGAGACTAAGCTTCTTCCCTTCCTCCGACATTATTGGCTTAGATGTCTGCAAAAATTGTTTGTAATATATAAGGCTATTACAAAGATTGATTGATCTACAAAATTTAAGTAAGAACAGAAACAATCTAAAACATTGAGCGCATGATTGGAAACTAGAAAGAGGTCATTGCCAGGATGAGCAGATAAACTTTAGAACCCAGAGATCAGCAAGCGACCAGAAGTTGAACAGTGCTCCCACCTAAGGATGACATTACGTCATAATTTCGCCCCATTTTTTTAGGAGTTGCTATAACAAAGAGAACTCCAATAACTATATAGGGACAAGAAGAACTGTAAACAGTTCTATTTAACATGGTCCAAGCAGGACATGCATTGATTCCCCAACAGTTAATTTGGAAATGAATTGATAGATCAAATAAACTAGCCTGGGAATCTAACAGAGTTCAGAACCAGGAAAAAGACTACTCACAAGCCTGGAAATC